AGCAAATATATAAATCAAATTAATTATCTATATCACATTATAAAGCATTTGACAATAACTCTTAAAAACCATTTTTATTAAAGATTCATGTTTGAATTCGTGTAACTAACTACAGATAAACATTCCATTTTAAATATAAAAAATCTAACATATAATTAATATAATCATTGAGTTCTAACAGAATATTTAATTATTATCTTTATAAAAAATTATATTATTAAATTAGAATAGATTACTTCTAAATTAAATTATAATAAAAAATTGAATTAAAGAAATTAAAAAAAAAACAAGAACTTTTAAATAGTTAATTTGATACTAATATATATATATATATATATATTTAAAAAAAATGATATCTTCAAATTTATATTTTATTCAAAAATAAAAACATTATCGTTTTCTAAAAACCACATAAAACCATATTATAAGATCGATGGGGACAAAATAAAACGAAACATTAAAATCAAAATGTATATCAATGCATTGCAGGAGTATATTTCTAGTTTAATTCTAATTTTACCCATAAGTTAGTGTTTATGAAACATTGTAAGTTAACTCAACTGACAATAAGATTTAAGTATTTAGGGTGCATTTGGTATTCTGAACAAGACATAACTGAATAGAACAAGGATCCATATTTCATATTTGGCAGGACTTTTGTGTGGAACAGCAGGAACATAGTGGAACAAAGTGGAATAGGCATGTTCCACCTCTACCCGTGGGACAAGGTGGAACAAACTTATATTTTACCAACATAAATATTCTATCATGTCATGTCCTATTTTAATACTATTCTATCATGTCATGTCCCATTTTGTCTGGACACCAAACGCAGCCTTAAGGATTTAAGGATCTTCTCGAGATCACAGGTTCAAGTAACGTAAAGCCACTACGAATTTCTTTTGTTGTTCTCTGAGGTCCATAAAATTAATTGGGGTGCATATAAGCTGTAATTAATTAATTTCTTTTTTGGTGTTTATGACATTGAAGTTGAGGTGTTACGTTTACTGAAACATAAAGCCAAGCATTCGGTCGCTAGGGTACCATTTTCACTGCCTGTGGCATGTCAACATTAGACAAAGGAAAAAAAAACCATAATACTATATATATATATATATATATATATATATATATATATATATATATATTTAATTATATATATATTATAAGAAAATTAAAAAAAATATGTATTTAAAAAGGTTTGGTTTAATGATTGATAGTTTGATACATTAATCTAGTACAAGAATGCTCCTTTCCTACGTTAGCAACTCATATCATAATATTTTTACACTTCTTTTTGACGATTTCACAATTTTATTGTTTTATTAAATGTTATATTTTAATTTGTCTTTGAAATAATATAATCACTTTCATTAAATTAGTCATTATCGTTGATTATCCTTTTAACCTTTTCTTATTAAATTAGCTCGTTAAATATTTGATTAACAATAAATTATTTTTATTTAATTATATAAAATATATTATATTTTTTAAGACAAAAGAGCAGTTGATACTATTATTAATGTTCATATATTGATATAGTTTTAATAATTTATTAAAGGGTATTTAAATATGAACTAATTCGTATATAAAAAGAAAAAGAAAAAGAAAAATTAATCATTTATTTATAATTATTTATTATTAAAAATCATTTTATACGACACATAAGAGTTGTAATACTGCTACGCTAACCAAAGCTAATTAACATGTTCCCACTTTTGTAAAATTAACTTATAAAACAAGTATATAGTTTGTTGTAAATAATTAAATGCAATTATTCATCAACTACCATGACCTTAGGATTATATGTATAGAGAGTCGGGTTCAAACGACAATGATACTTGTTTGAAAATAAGAAAATGGTTGAATCATATCTGATTTTACACTAACATCACGTACAAAATCACATGTGATTCACGTGACCTTGTTATGCGACCAATGGATCGCCCGAACACGTTTTTGACCGTTAATGTAAAATTACATGTGATTTTATACGTAATTTAGTCATTTTTTTTATTTTCTTAAATATATATCATTCTTGTATAAACTTACTTACCCTCATTTTCTCTCTCTCTCTCTCTCGCTCTCTCTCTCTCTCTCTCTATATATATATATATATATATATAGGGAGATATAACACATGCATATTAAGAGTATAACTTGAGATTTTGTAAGACCAGGTTGTTTTCATGAGATCTCTGAGACCACATAAATAACATTGAATCTTCATAGTATTTTGTAAAGGATCGCTGTTTTTGTATATTTATAATGTTTTATTGTGAAGATTCAGCATTATTATATGATCTCATATGTCTCAGGAAAACAAGTTAACCTCATGTGAACCTAACCTTTAAGAATATTATTTTAAAAAATTATCATATATGTAGGTGTTAGTTCATTTATTAACCTTATATTTGGTGTTAAATATGAGAACCAATCATGATTTTATTTATTCAATCTACGAATTATAACATCAGTGACATAGTAGTCAAATGAACCTGTGTTATATCGTAATGAACAATAATTAATAGGGTAAAATTGAAGAAAAACTAGGAGCTTTTATTATGCAATGATTTCACTTCCCAAGAATCTTTCATTCATCATCTTGAAACCGAAATCAATCACATTTTACTTGTTCACTAATGGACATTTATATGATAAATAATAGAAGTTGGTAGTTATAAAAATTGTTCACTAATGAACATTTGACTGATTATTTGTGTATTAATGTCTCTGATTCACGCATGAACATCATGTGAACTGTGTTCACTAATGAACATATTATTCAAAACATCATAAACGAATGAAATTAATATGAAAAAGAAAATCATTGAATCAATATGAAATTAATTTGAACATGATCATCGAGAATTATGAAAAGGATGATATAATTATCGTCCCTAAAAACAAGCAACTTTTTTAAACATTCCATTTAATACAATGAAGTAACTTACAAATGAAAATTACTTTTGTACTCTTAATAATTGACTCTAATATTTGAAGTAACCATAACTAAAGAATGATTCTGATTGGTCTACCGAGTTCACAAAATTAACACCATTTTTCTGTTAATATCTTCTCTCTCTCTCTCTCTCTCTCTCTCTCTCTCTCTCTCTATATATATATATATATATAGGGGCGTACTCTTAATAATTGACTCTAATATTTGAAGTAAC